CATAATACAGCTTTTTCAAAGAACGTCAAACGATTGACATGCTGTATTCCAAGACCGAAATGCATTGTTGTTCGCTCTATAGCTGTTCACCTATTCCAGCTCCGTTCCGTAAAGAAATTCTGAATGGAAAGCAATTACGTTTAGAATTGTCACATAGAATTTGTAATGTTGCTAACGTGGTGTTAAATTGCAACAATGCATTGCGATCTTGGAATGCACAAATGCAGTGTTCAACGTTTCTGAAATAATTATTTACATTATTGCATTCCTTTGCTTTTGAACTTAATGGATACTTTTTAATCTTCAGAAGTCTTCGTGACAATTTGATCACATCCCTTCACGATGATGCTTTCCAAAACAATACGGAACTATCCTCTCTGTAAGTCATTTAAACAAAACTCGATAATCCACATGCAACAAAGATAAATATCTCTAAAACCTTTGCAGTAAATAACCACTTCATGTTCAATATTAGAATTATAGGTTACGATTTCTACAAAATTTAGTATAAGTGTCATGCATCCTATAACATCGATGACAAGTTCTATGTTTATTGTAAATTTAAGGATGTTTACAATTTTTTTGTCGTTAAAAGCGAACTAATAACAGATTTATCTCTTTCTCGTGCGCATAGAACTTCCATTAAACCAAATATGTATGCAGGAAAGAATTTCATCATGACAATTAAAGTAGTCATTGAAATTAATGTCCATTCTCTGCGACCCGAGAATGAAAGTCATTTGCTTCCTTAGCAGCCACTCGCTTTGAATGAAGAAAAAAAGAACTTATCATGTTTGTCTATCATAAAAAATTATTTTGTTCATCATTTGATAGTTATCTACATGGTAATAAAATCAAAAACATCCCTGATGGTATTTTCCGTAACCAGAGGCAACTGCGAGTTCTGTAAGTTTATGTTGTATTTATTTTTGTTGTTGTTTTGTTTTTGGAGTGTCTAAATGTCTGGCAGCCTGACGGACTGATAACAAAAACTTAACGTCAGTCAATCAATTTTTCTCTCAATAAAAATAATAATACTTCAGCTTAAATGCGTTTTTTATTTTTGTAATGTCTTTGTGTTCCTTGAGGATGACCGCTTAGTTCGAGAGCTTGGAATAAAATGTTAAATTATTCAGGCTTGATTCAACAAACTACTTGTAGATATGAAAAATACAACCAACAAAGATCTTTTAGAAATTATAACAATACTGTTGATTAACTGAGGCCACTGGCAGTAATGAAAATACTGAATTATAGGGTTAACATATCAACGGAAAAGGACAAAATACTATTACATTTGGAATGTGGCAGTTACAAAATCTTGAAATCTGTTGCTTCGCACGATTGGACGAATGGGGGGGGGGGGGGGGACTTTTTTTTCCAGAGAAAGACCGGAAATTTTTCCAGGCAAATAAAGTTGTAGTTGCGTTTTTCTTTTTTTATCTTTCTGTTTTTTTATCTTATTTATTGATAGGACAGATAGAACAAACATAATTTCAAGTAATAGAACAACAAGAGAAATGCAAAGAATTCGGAATTTTGATTCACTCGGTCAACGTGCCTGACGTTTTGACACTCCGGTTTGCTTTTGTTTTCTTTTCATCATTAAAAACGTCGTCCATGACGTAATAATTCATGATGTATTCATTTGCATGAATAAAAATCGAAACTATGCACCGCCGCTCTTTTCATGACTGAAAGAAAGAGGGGATAATAATTGTTTTTGTGTTCATCATTTTCAAAATGGCAGCCATGACGTAATGTGCGACCATGAAAACAGTTATACGATTGTCAGTGAATTTGCATTACATTACTACAGTTTCAGAAAATTCTCACAATTTGTTGTTTTTGACAATTCATGCTATCTACTGTTCGTCTAAGGTATCTTCATAACAACAAGCTAGAAAAGTTCAGCAAATCATCGTTCCGAGGACTCTCCATGCTTGAGAAATTGTAAGCACTTATGATGAACTTTTGCAGTTT